TCTAAACCTGGTTAAAGTCCTGAGCCAGTCTTTGCAGAGACTATTGCATGGGATGCAGGAGGAGAGATTTCATTTTTCGGATGGGTCTGTGGGATGACAATGAGCCCTCTGATGTTTCTCAAGTGATGAATTATTTCAAGGAACAACCTGGGCTATAGCAGCCCCTGTGTCATGGTGGCAGGGTGAGAGAGGAACACTTTTAAATGTTAATTAGCAGGGAAGAGCTGTCTTGCAGACTAACCACAAAGATCTCCGGTGATGGCAGGAGGCAAAGGAGAGCAATAGAGCATTTCATTTGTAATGCATGTTTTTATTTCACCTTGGAGATCTGCTCATTGATGGATTTGGCATGCAGATAATGAAACTGCATTGCTGTAGGGCTCCTGACTGCAAGGTGCTTAAGCACAAAAGGAAGCCCCTAGGAAACCTCTTGGCAGGGGGCAGGGAGCATGGCACTTGGCTGGGATTATGGGAAGAGGTAGCAGGAAAGAGTTGTACCTGCAAGCAGGTGAGAAACAGCAGAGGCTGGTGATGCACAGTCCCCAGCTGGGCAAGGGGAGGGTGAAATGGCAGAGGGAGGATGAAGCAATCCTACCCAAGTAAGACAAAATGAATGAGCTGGGCGATGGGGACAGTTCACGCTCCTTTCTCTTGCTTCCTTTTTCACGTTGAGGTCTCCTAAGCAAATCCCACTCATGCACCATTGCCATCAAGCTGAGACCAGTTTCCAGTCCTCCAGCTTCGCTTCCCATCGCACACATCCTTTTCACTGAGCGGACAGAGGTGCCATGGCTCTACCATGTGCCGTTTTTGAAACATGGCCAAACCGGGGGCACGGTTCTCCTCCGCCCTGCCCCGGCGTCACACTTTGCACCGGGGAGAAGTGGTTGGGAAGTGCTGCCGAATCGGAGCAGTTCCAGCGCTTGAGCTACACGTGGTTTTGCTGGCATGGGGATGGTGTGTGGAGATGCCACACCAGTGGCCATCTGCTCAGAGCAGGCCTCCATCCTAGCGCTCTGCTTTGGTTTCCTCCACTGGGGTCAAACGCACGAGGGTCACCTCTGCCCGGTGAAGAACAAGGCAGGGGTAATGCCATCCTCCACCCTGAGCCAGAGGGCACATCTCAGCCATTTCTTGGGTTGCGCCAAAAAACACCTACAGGCCCTCCTAAACCAGTGTAAATCAGGAATGACTTCACTGATGTTAGAAGGGCCAAATACAGTGCCAGGTGAGAAGGAAGCCAAATGTTCGTGCCTGAATCTTTCCCTCTAATTAAACTTAAATTAAAAAAAAAATTTTAAAGGGTAGAGGAACCAGCTGACAAGGTATGGTGGGCTGGTGCAGCCAGCGGCTGCATCTCGCCTCAGGGGGAGTTGACTTCATTGGCTGCATTTTGCTCAGTTGCACAGAGTTTTTAAAGTGCTTTTTGATCCCAGGATGAAAAGTGCTGTATAAATGTAACACTCCCTTGTATAGCTGTCTGTCTGTCAATCCTCAGAGCATGGGCTGCAGCTTGCTTATTTTCTGCGGTTAAGGGGAACCGCAGTTACAGCACTCCTGCATGTTTAACACTATTTCAAAGTCCCTCTTGACTTCCCTTTTCATCCTTCTTCAGGGCTATGTTTAGACTCCGATTTCCCATCTCGGACTGAGATTGTTATTAAAATGCAGCACTGGTAATGCTCCATGCAGCCCAGCCATAACAAACCGCTGCAGGCGAGCACAGCGCTGGGGAGAGGGGGGGCTCTGAGTGACCACGCAGTGTTTAGGCTTTAAAACCAGCCAGGTTTGCTCTGTTTACATAGATCTAAAGACTATTCCCATCTACTATACACAAATATGGCAACAGGGAAAGGGGGGGAGAAAGGAGGGATAAGCGTGTAATCTGCAGAACCAAATGTAAGGGCTATAATTAATCAGGTAATTGCAGTATTTGTGTGGAGTGTCTGTAAATATTACCTCTATTTCTAAGTATAGTACTTTGGACCACGTATCTTATCATGAAACAAACTGTCAAATAGGAAACACAATCACTTGACTGGAATATAATGAATATTAGGTCAGCCAAAATGCAAACTGACTAAATTAATTTGTAGCTGTGTACCAACTGATGTTGGTGCGATAATTTAATGAAACCCTTCAAATAAATATCCGCTGGGGGAACAACGCTGAGGAGCAAACGGAGCGTGCACTGAAGGATTACGAGGGTTTTCTGTGATTACAGAAGGAGGTCCCAAAGAGCAAACAGAAACGGAGGGTGATCTTGCAGAGCGCAGGGGAGGATGCGAGGGCTGCGCAGGGGGCCCCGGCGATGCTTTGCAGAGAGCCTTGCTTTGTGGACCTCAGAGCTGCCCCTGCAGGACCTCAGCTGGGACACCGGCGGCTGGACTCAGCCCTCCGGAGCAAGCGTGACGCAGGCGGAGGCTCCGTGGGTGGCCCTGGGCTCGCGCGGGGCTCCGGCTGCCCCGACGCTGCGTCGTGCCGCTCTCCGGGAAAGCCGTTGGTTGACGTGACGGCGATTTGAAGCGGTTTGAGAAACGCTGTCTCCGTCTCGTGAGAAATGCAGAGCAAAATGAACAGGTTTGAGTACTGCTTTAAATGCCTTGGTTCCTCAGTCAGAGGGGGATTCTGAAAACCAACATGCTCTCCATTTCTGCCTTTTTCATATCCTTCTGTTTCCTTTTCTGCTTGGGCAAGGTCAAAATAATCACTGAAATAGCTCATTTGAGGAGCCACAATATGTTGATCCCCATGGGAATCTGGGAGCAGAATGAGCCCTTTTTGACAGGGGAGCGTGTCCGACCTCTGGCATGGGAGGGATGCCGCCCATCGCTCCAACATGCGCTGGATGGGATGTTATTTCCCCAGAAAAGCGCAGCTGAGAAAGTGCTCAGACAAGACCCTGAGCAGTGCGGCGGGGCTCGGGGCCACCCTCTCGCAGCAGCCCTACACCCACACGTGGCTCCTGCTGGGAAACCCTCCCAGAGCATTTGCAGTCACTGGGGGTCTCACGCCGTCCCAGTGGTAGCACTGGAGCTCTGCAGACTGAAGCCTCTCAGCACTGGGGACAAGCAACCGGTGGGAAATGCTGGTCCTGATGGTGCCATTCCCCCTGAGCACCCTGTTGGGAGATAGGGACCCTGGGTGTCCCCCATGCCGCCCAGCAATGCAGCACACTTACCTGCAAGAACTAGACTCCTGGGCTGGGAACCCACCTGCCCCCGAGCTGCCAGATCTTCCAATGCAAACCGGACTCCTGCAGTGCCATGGAGAGTCCAACAGCAGCTGCAAGGCACGGGCTGCCTCCTCTCAGGGGAGTCTGTTTTCTGCACTCCCCCCAGGGGAATGTACTTTGCTCTAAGTCGCGAAGCCCAGTTTCAATTTGGATGGCACAAAGAAATGAGCGAGTTAAAGCATGAGAAATGGCTAAGGAACGATTTGGGCTATTCTAGCAGTTGGTGAGTGGAAAGTTCCCCCTAAGAGCTAAACACGCATCTTATCTCCCGCTCAGCACCAGCGTTTCCGCAGCGGTTGGAGCTGCTGCCCCATGGTTGCAGCGGCAAGAGGGGAATCCCTCTGACCCAAAAGGTTCCGGTGCTGCGTTCCCAGGGGAGCACGGTAGCTAACTTAGTGATGTTGACATAACAGATACCCTTGAAGTGGGATTATAGGACACACTCTGAATTTATTGGGGGGAGCCTATTTGCCCACATGACGGGTCATACGACTGTCTGCTAAGTTTACATCAGCTATTCACAGTAATATCAGGTGCGCTTTATCAGATTCAGCATTAGTTACCTTGGAGTGAAACAGCAGAGGACCAACTAAGGGCTAATAAAGTAACAGCTACAATGATAATGGGTGGCAGTAAATGAGAGTCGTGTTTGAGGTGTTCAATGTCAGCCCAAATCCGGGCAGAGCAGAGTCAGACAAAGGAGCTATGGAAAGCTCAGGCCGGGTCACGCCAGCACAAACCGAGCAGGAGCTGCTTGGGGACTGCGGTCAGCCACGCTGATGAACCAGCACGTGTCCCACCGGGAGAGCCTGGAGCAGAGGCCACAGAGGACCCTTGCCCCCACTGAGGAGGCTCCAAGTTCCCTCTTCTCCTCCGGGATGCAGAGGATGTTTGTGCAGACCGATGCTGGAGGGGTTGTGCGGGGTCCTTCCTGCAGCTCCAGGACTCGTTGCTAAAGCAGCCAACAGGTAGGAGAGCAGAAGGCTGCAGGCAGAAGGGGGGAGATGGGCTGAAGGCTGAGGAGCAAACAGGCTTGGTCCAGGTGCGGGGCCCTGGCGGGATGGGCTGCAGCTGGGGAGAAGGGGCATGGGAGAAGGCAAACGCAGGGATGGGCATAGCTGAGAGGCTGCACTAAATGCACCTTCTGCCACAAACCAGAGGACCCGATATTAACTCTCAAACTCATGATGATGAGAAACACCCTCCCATATCACCATAGGGTGAGACAGACATCAGCACAGGCTAAAAAAAAAAAAAGATTAAGCGCGTAAGGACAGAGAAGGAACTGAGGGGCTTTCTCAGCATGAATGCACTTACCCCACGCGACGTAGGCATTACTGTCCCCACACAACCCGAGGCACCGCCATCTCCCAGTGCCGCTGCGTTTTGGCTGGTGCCTGTGGATATCCTTGGCAGCTCCAGCCTCTACATTTACCCCATTTGGCATGCAGGATTTGTTGGGTAAGTGCTGTAGCTGCGTTCCCAAGGTGGCCCTGGATGTGGGCTGTGGGCTCTCCCTTCCTGCAGGCGATCCGCATGCTGCCCAGCGAGGTCCTGGGGAGTTTCTCTCCCGCCAGCCAGCTGTGCTGGCTCTGGCATGAGCACTGCCATAACTTGAAGAGCAGGAGGAGGAAGGAAGCTCTCCTCGGCTGTGGGGGCAGGGAGGGGAGGATGCTGTGGAAGGGCTCTCCAAAAAGTGCCTCGGAGGCAGAGAGAACCACCTCTGTGCAGAAACCTGCCTGTGCCAGTCCGGGCAGAGCCTCCCATGACATCAGCTCGCAACCGGCTTCACAACAACACGCCGGAGGAGACCCTGCCGCACACCGCAGGGGGAACCCGCTCCAGCTGCAGAGGAGGCATGCTGCAAACCAGAGACAGCCTGGCCCTGGTGAAGCTCGGAGGGACTCGTCTCTGTCCCCAGAGCCTCTGGGACTTTGCCACCCAAATCCCTGCCAGGGGCACAGGGGATGCTCCTGTGTGTATAGAGGTGGGCTTCATCTTAAGCAGTACTGGCCTAACATCAGCTCAAAGCATCCTGGGACTGCACTTCTGATAACTGGGCATTTTATATTGGTTTAGCCACTCCCTTATATTGGTTTAACCACTCCCCCAGTGAAACTGCCCCTTTTGCTTGCACCTGATTTACACAGCAGTAGCCAAGGCCAGGCCTGGCCCCCTCCCTGGGAAGCAGGATAGTACCAAGTCTGTCGTGCTGATGGCGATCTGGGGGAGCCCCAAAGAGCCTCAGGAGCATCGCTGGGGGTTCACAGCGGGGATGTTCCCTGGGATCCCTCAGGCAGAAGCAATCCCAGGAAAGCTGTTTTCATGCTCTTGCTTCTCCAAGTCCTCCCAGCCTTGCGTTTAAGCTGGTCATCAAATTGACTATAAAACGGCATCAAATTAACCTGGCTGTGAGCACCTGCTTGTAAACGTGACCGCTCTGACTCTGCTTGGGGGTTGTTTCCAAACTGCACCCGGGAGAATTCAGGCTCCCACCCCATGATCCTTGCCAGGCAGGAGGCTTTGCTGGGAGCGGTCAGCCCGCACCGGCCCCGGCTGCCTGCCAGGGAACGAGCCCTGCCTGACTGCGGGCAAGGGCCTACAAGCCCACAGGAGCCCAGGACAGGTGTTTTTACTGCTCTCGCTTGTGGAGGCATTGCAAAGTGTGGGAGGGTGCTGGAGACTCTGTAATTATAGCCTGTGAATTTAAATCCCACAGTTTGCAGGAGTTCTGGGATATTTCATGCAGCGTAAGCTCAGCAACACCTTCGTGACAACATGAAGACTCATAAGTTTTTGCCTCGCTGTAGCAAGGTGCAAGCTTTCACTTGTTAACCCTTGCACGACCAGTGACTCCTCTTCACTTTCTGTAGATGATGGGAAAAAGGACAGAAAAGAAAGAGGAAGAGGTGAAGGAAAACACCCAGAGATGCCTTTAGTAACTGCAGAGCTCAGGGGAGGCCTTGGCTGTTCCTGGTTGCCTGCTTGGGTTTGTTTCTGCCTCTGAGCATAGAGGAGTAAATAAGGTGAGGGGTTCACGTATTCACCTTGAATTTTCTTCACCTGCATTAATTCCTGCT